AGAGACATTCAGATTATGATTACCTACATTAAAATACACAATTAAATGAATTTTTTGAATTTGTCAGACCTTTAGTTGATCATAACATTGAGAAAACGTACCAAAATTATCGTATTCCTCCATTGTTATGGGTGTGTGGACTCTGCCCAGACAAGAGACATTCAGATTATGATTACCTACATTAAAATACACAATTTAATGAATTTTTTGAATTTGTCAGACCTTTAGTTGATCATAACAATGAGAAAACGTAACAAAATTATCGTATTCCTCCATTGTTATGGGTGTGTGGACTCCGCCCAGACAAGAGACATCCAGATTATGATTACCTACATTAAAATACACAATGTAATGAATTTTTTGAATTTGTCAGACCTTTGGTTGATCATAACAATGAGAAAACATAACAAAATTATCGTATTCCTCCATTGTTATGGGTGTGTGGACTCCGCCCAGACAAGAGACATCCAGATTATGATTACCTACATTAAAATACACAATTTAATGAATTTTTTGTTCATTTCAGACCTTTGGTTGATCATAACAATGAGAAAACATAACAAAATTATCGTATTCCTCCATTGTTATGGGTGTGTGGACTCCGCCCAGATAAGAGACATTCAGATTATGATTACCTACATTAAAATACACAATTTAATGAATTTTTTGTTCATTTCAGACCTTTGGTTGATCATAACAATGAGAAAACATAACAAAATTATCGTATTCCTCCATTGTTATGGGTGTGTGGACTCCGCCCAGATAAGAGACATTCAGATTATGATTACCTACATTAAAATACACAATTTAATGAATTTTTTGTTCATTTCAGACCTTTGGTTGATCATAACAATGAGAAAACATACCAAAATTATCGTATTTCTCCATTGTTATGGGTGTGTGGACTCCGCCCAGACAAGAGACATCCAGATTATGATTACCTACATTAAAATACACAATGTAATGAATTTTTTGAATTTGTCAGACCTTTGGTTGATCATAACAATGAGAAAACGTACCAAAATTATCGTATTCCTCCATTGTTATGGGTGTGTGGACTCCGCCCAGATAAGAGACATTCAGATTATGATTACCTACATTAAAATACACAATTTAATGAATTTTTTGAATTTGTCAGACCTTTGGTTGATCATAACAATGAGAAAACGTACCAAAATTATCGTATTTCTCCATTGTTATGGGTGTGTGGACTCCGCCCAGACAAGAGACATCCAGATTATGATTACCTACATTAAAATACACAATGTAATGAATTTTTTGAATTTGTCAGACCTTTGGTTGATCATAACAATGAGAAAACATAACAAAATTATCGTATTCCTCCATTGTTATGGGTGTGTGGACTCCGCCCAGATAAGAGACATTCAGATTATGATTACCTACATTAAAATACACAATTAAATGAATTTTTTGAATTTGTCAGACCTTTAGTTGATCATAACATTGAGAAAACGTACCAAAATTATCGTATTCCTCCATTGTTATGGGTGTGTGGACTCCGCCCAGATAAGAGACATTCAGATTATGATTACCTACATTAAAATACACAATTTAATGAATTTTTTGTTCATTTCAGACCTTTGGTTGATCATAACAATGAGAAAACGTAACAAAATTATCGTATTCCTCCATTGTTATGGGTGTGTGGACTCCACCCAGATAAGAGACATTCAGATTATGATTACCTACATTAAAATACACAATGTAAAGAATTTTTTGAATTTGTCAGACCTTTGGTTGATCATAACAATGAGAAAACGTACCAAAATTATCGTATTCCTCCATTGTTATGGGTGTGTGGACTCCGCCCAGATAAGAGACATTCAGATTATGATTACCTACATTAAAATACACAATGTAAAGAATTTTTTGAATTTGTCAGACCTTTGGTTGATCATAACAATGAGAAAACGTACCAAAATTATCGTATTCCTCCATTGTTATGGGTGTGTGGACTCCGCCCAGATAAGAGACATTCAGATTATGATTACCTACATTAAAATACACAATGTAATGAATTTTTTGAATTTGTCAGACCTTTAGTGATC